AAAAATAAACAATAATTTTATTCTTATTTTAAAAATTATGATATTTTAATTTTTAATAATAATTTATTAAAGCAATATAATTTTAATATATATTTTCACTTAATTTTTTTAATATAAATTGATGTCCACATTTTCATTTTTACTCAATTTTTAAAATTTTCTAATAAAATTTTATTTAAAAAATTTACTTTAAAACAAATACTTTTTAAATCTAGACAAACACCGCCAACACATCTCCCACTCCCAATTGCTTTACTTTTAGGCTTGATAAGGCGCATGCACGCTGTCCCGCTAGGTATTTTGGTGGGTTTGAAGTTGATTGAATTAAAGTTATACAATCAACAAGGCAAATGAAAGAAATCTGCAGCAAATATCTGGAGGGCCCGATGAAATGAATTCGACACGCGAGAAATGGGGTTCGATAAGCACAAAATGTATAATACCCCGCACTCACTGACAAAGACAATTTACCTGATTATCATAAAAAATCTTCTAGTACCACCTGAAATCATAATTATTATTTTCTTAAATCTAACTGAGGATAAAATTAAACTTTTAAATTTAATAATTTATTTTTAAATTTTAATATTTAAATTAAATTGATTGAGAATTTAACTCTCATCAATCATTTAAAAAAAATTTCTCTCTCATCTCCCATGTTAAAAAAAAAAAAAACTAAGGAAAAGAAAAAAGCTAAACAAAAAAAAGGATGATTTAAAGTTTTTAGAAATCAAACCTCGGAAATTAAGAAGCCTTCTTATTACCCTCCATCTTTAACTAATAAATTTTTTTTATTTAGAATTTATTTCATAATAATAATAATAATTTTTTATATTTTAATTTTAATTATCGATGCCATTATGATTTAATTCTAAGAATAGGACACGAGCCCACGTGAAGATGCCTCAGCAAGCCCACAGTGGTCCCCATTTTCATCTTCGTCTTCGATTCCAAAAAGAAAAAGGGACCCCAGATCTGCAACATTTTGTCCAACCGTGTGCTACAGCTGAGAGAGGTTGGCTTGGCTCCTTGCAAGGAAAGGTGGGGATGAATTCATGAGGATCGGAGGGGTGTCTGTGAGGGAGACTTAGGTATTGTTTGGATTGGAGGTGTCGGACGGAGAGGGAGAGAGGGGAAGAGAGGGGAAGGGATGGGGACGGATGGCAAGGGAGGGGGAGTGAGGGGGAGCTGTCTCCTTCTTCCTGTTTGAGTTTCCAAAGAGGCAGAGAGGGAGGGAGATGGACTGATTCGGACTCCCTTCGACTCCCCTCAAATCTGCAGATTTGTAATTCGCCCGATTTGAGGAGTTTGGGAGGGATTTGAGTGGCTGTTTACATTAAACTAAATGTAATTACAAAATTAACCTTAATTTTTTTATTATATCCTTCTCCATTACAAATTTAAAGGGTAAATTTATAAATTTAAAATTAATTTAAATCATTCCCTTCCTTTCCTTCCTTTTACCTTAATTATCCAAACATAAAATAAGATAA